CCTCCCAAGTAGCTGGGACTACAGGCGCCCGCCACAACGCCTGGCCATTTTTTGGTTGCAGCCATCATTGTTGTTTGGTGGGCCCAGGCTGGGGATACGAACCCACCACCTTAGGTGTATGTGGCTGGCACCTTAGCCACTTGAGCCACAGGCGCCGAGCCCCAGAGAATTTTCCTGCACTACCTTTATCTGTATTCAAGTGCCTGTGTGTGAGATGTCTAAATCCCCAGAGTCAAATCCCCCACATCTGCACCTGAAGAAGCCCCCGTGTGCTCCACTCAGCCTGTGTTCCTCTCCGGTGCTGCCTCCTCCCCTCCTTCCTCCGGCCCCACTGGCATTTCCTCTCCTCCCTGCCTGATGACTTCCAGGGCACCTTTGTCTCTTTCCTCTGCTGAGCTCCCTCCAGCACTTGTTCCCTATCTCTTACCCACCTTATGATTTTCGTCCAGAGTTGTTTCAGCTGTGGGGTCTCTTTTCTTTGTGTGAAGTTTATGGGGAAGGTGTGTGTGTAGGTCGGGAACCTGGAGCTACTCGGATGAAGGCAGGGAGGACCCCCATCTATAGTTATTCCTCCTGACTCCACAGAGATTGTTATGTACCCCAGCATGACCTTGAAAGCCTCAGGCCTGTGCCATGGGCAGACTGTCTTGTGAGTTTGGGCTTCAGTGATGAGATCTGGTCACTCACAGGCTGGGCTGTGTCCAGGAGGGCAGTGAGCAGAGCTGGACCGGACAGCAGATCCCAGCTGGAGCCCTTATTCTATTGTGCTTGGGAGTTCCACAAAGACCACACCGTCAAACAAGCCGAATTCACAGCAGAGTCCTTTTATTGAAGAGCTGGCCAGTGACTGCCTCAGTGTCCCAATATGGGGTTTCTGAGAGCAGCCCCGAGGGCTTAACGGGTCGGGTTTTTAAGGCTTGATCTGCATCCTGGTTGGCCTGCAGGCTGTCCAGGTGCATTTGGGTGGGGTAGCAAGCAAGCATTAGACAGAAGCAGAATTTTGCAGTTAGTTAGCCATACGTTATACATCTTTGTTTTAATATTTTCCTCCTATACATCTTAGTTTCAATACTTTCCCCCGTACATCTTTAGTCTCAGTATTTTCTCTACCTGATACTGTTTAAAGGTCAATCCAGGGACAGTTGGTGCCTCCTGGTTGGTTTCCCAGGGAGTTAGCCAAGCAAGAAATTGGGAGTAAATAGAAGCAAGAAATCAGTTAGTACTTTCTCATTTATCTTGGGGGTGAACTAAACTTATTTCATTTCTTTTCTTTTTTTTTTTTATTTTTTTATTTTTTTTTTATCACACTGTTTCTTTCTTTTTTTTTTTTTT